CGGTATTTAGTAACCAAATTATACAACAGTTAGAAATATTCGATATATACAAGACCTCTTGTTTGTTGTTGCAATGACATGCAATTGACAAATATACAAATATATACACACAACAAAGTGTCAATCACAGTGAGATCGTTTTATTAAAAGAGGGAAGAAAATGGCTCAACGTGATCGGAATATTCGGTAGATAATGAGCGGGCAGAGAGAATAAAAGAATAACGGGAATGAGATAGTACAAGAATCAGAGAGAATGGGCAGAGAATCAAATGGGATTGAGAGATTTCCAAGCAGTGGGGCAAGTGCGAAAGCACAGGGGCATTGAATGAGTAAGGAGTGGAAATAGATGCGGAGCAATGACATCCACTCCTCCCCTTTTTCTATCACCAAAGCTTCACCTCCTGCTGCCCTCGTCCTCAATTTCAGTAAATCGCTTCAAGCCCTTCCTTCAATCTTTCGAGACATGCCAGGCGTCTGCTCATCAGGATTCACAGCTGGAATCACTGGACTAGAGCGAGGGGCGATGGGTTGTGAGTGCAAGTGGCATACGTCACAACAGTGCACTCCCCTCACGTCCTGAGCAGAGCGAGCCTTGGCGTCTCGGACGAGGGAGGGAGAGGGAGACAGAGACAGAGAGTCTGCATGCCGGCGGGAGCGTCGGCACAGTTACGTGCGCAGTGTTTGGCTAAAGATTACAGAGGAGGAAAAGGTACTATTCTGGAACCTTTATATAGTCGGGAAGGAAAGCACATATTTGTCCATAGCCGCACTCGCGACACCTTCAAATGACTCCATGGCCTCCAAAAGTGAGCACCACATGTATTATCTGGAGACTGCTGTCATGGTGGATGCCTGCTCTCACCCTTGAACTCTGTTCAGCAGGCAGTACTATACGCGAGCTTTGGCCTGGAACTGTGGCTCCTAAAATTCCGATTCCCGGCCCCTCTGCAAACAAACATTCCTTCTATATTTGGCCACGAGGCTACGAATACTTTATGTGAAAAGACCTATCACCACTCGGAACAGGGACCCATATTTGGTATAGGGAGGAAAGGATCTCTGCACTCCATCAGATAATACGACGAAAACAGCTTATATAACGACAAGGGGGCCAAGAGCCGCAAAGCCTGGGGGTGGGTTCTTCCCATTGGTGCTCATCTTTTAGCCGCCAACTTCCCTGTAGATCAATTCCCCACCCGGATTAACTTCTCTCTCTCTCTCTCTCTCTTTTCACTGCTTGATTCCGTTAGGGCTTGTTTTTGTGGGTGTTCCCGTTGATTTACCTTCTAACCCCCACCCTCAGCTGGTCAACCATGCACAATCAGCACAACAAAGACCTTTCCTCACTACCCCATATGCTGTGACCCTTATTCATATATATATATACATTCTTAATAATGTAATTGGATCTGTGATTAATATGTACAAGTTAAGCATAAGCCAAGAGACAAGGTTCCTGAACTTGGGAACCCCATGAAATCAAAAGCCAGCATTGCACTAAATGGAAAGGTGCCACCAAGCCTTCTGGAGCCACAAAAATATTGAGAATTTTTAGAAACATGCAAAACTTAGACCATCGGCTAAACATCAAGAGTTTTTAGAAACATGCAAAACATTGGGAGTATGTACAAATAAGCAAAACATAGTACATCAGCAAAACATCATAGATTTGTTTATTTGTTCTTATTTCCTTCCCCACATATTACTATCTTGGTCCATCAAGAGCCCCATGGAGCTTATAGTAAGGACCATACTTTTGCCTAATCACAGAACATAAATAGTTCAGCAAGAGCATTGTGTGCTAGGCCCAATCAGAAGCAGGAGTTGAGGGGGTTTTGGCTGTGTGATGTGGTCATGCACACAGCCATACATGAAGCCTGATTAGAAGAGTTTTTAGTAATGTTACATAGGTTGTTGTCTCATAGTGTGTTCCTCCTGTTCTGCAGTGCATATTGTTGTTGTGCTGTTGCCTTCTCTAGCACATCTTTGTCTCCAGCACATATCATCAGTACTCTGTTATTGCTAAGCAGTTAGGCTGTTTTTGGTTGCTCTGATTTTAGTTCCCATTGGTTGTATCCAAATGCTGCCTTTCTTCTGTACAATCCAACTGCTGTCCTATATAAATGATAAAGAGAAAGACAGAGAGAGAGAGAGAGAGAGAGAGAGGGGTACATCTTTTGGCCAATCATCAGAAGCTAAAATGCCAAACACAAACATATATCCAGGTGTACCTCATTTGTATCTTTTATCTCTGAGGCACTTTTTTCAAATTAGTGTGTGAGATGATGGACAGAATTCTGTGAGATAGAACATTTGATGAGAATACATATACATTCACAGACTTTGTACATAAACAACATCATGTACTTACTTAATTAGTGAAAGCTGTACCTGTTGGCTCAGAGGAGTGTGAGGTTCCAAGTCTTTTATTTTTAATTTTTAAATCCATTTAATCTCTCATTCTGTCTACATTAGCACAGCAGAGTCCCCATGTATCCAACCACAGTGCTTGTTCTCTGTAAGATCCCATTGTGTGAAGGAAATTGGAATGGTCCTCAATCTAAGCATGCTCCCTTCAACTCAAAGCCTTAGAGATATCAAAAGAGATTTCTCTAAAGGTATTGAGTTGTTCTCTGATTTGAAGGTATTGGGATTTTCAATACACTTGATCCACGTTCTTGTTTGTGTACTTCGTTGATAGTGCATTTTCAATAAATAATACTAAAATATGCACAATATACAAAAGGGTGCAAATAGACAGAGACAAGTTAATCCATGGCAAATATTGAACCTTGAATGACCACCAGCTACTTAATGGCAGTAGATTTGTAATTGTCTTCACAGATTCATCACAGTTATTGAAAATCAGAACATTCAATTGCTTTCCAACAAACATTTGAACATTCACTTGAAGAGAATTGTTGTATTTAATGTGTACCTATCATTATATTTAGAATACATCATTATTAAAACTTCGACATCCTATCATATTTTAGTTTTTTCATATTGATGCAATTTCTAACAATACATGTTGTTGGCAAATAATGAAAACATAATATATTTAGATGTCATAGATTCCATTCATCGAATAATTCGTCTTTCAACTTCCATTGTGCGTTGTGGTTTGTCATTACAGCGTTTATGTTAAAGTAAAGGAAAATTAAGTGAATTCTTTTGTTGTGTTGAAATGGTTGGTTTGTCATTTTGAATCGAAATGTTCCAAATAAATGAACATGTGAGTATTTTAACAACACCTACTAATTCTAGATTTGGAACCAGGAATTCTAGAAGAACTTCTAAATGAATGCCATCCCATTGTTACATGACAGAGTTTAAAATATGTTTGTAATCCATGAAGGTGAATTCATGTCCTCACTATTGTTGGTGGAAGAAGAACGAACAAGTCGAAGCAATTTAATTATTTTATTTACTTTCTTTTCATTTCACTGAATATACAGCAAAGAACAGAAACATGCTGCGGGAGGCCGCACGCGGTGGCATAACGTTAACCTGAAATCATCCAGATGTAAACGCAGTCACAGCCAACAAGACGACGAAGACAATCCTGATTGTTGTAAACAGAATATTAATCTGACCAAAGCTTCAGAGTCTGGCAAATACATGTGATCAACCCCCCTAATCGAGCAAAACTAATAAGAAAACGAAGCACCTTCCTCGTATTAACCCCACACTATGCGGGCGAAGCTATTTGCGGGAATTTCAGTCACTCCCAGCTGCAAGTTGGAGTGATAGTAAGACAGGAAGGGAGAATAGAAGGATCTAACTTCAGCTCTAAATTGGGTTCCACACAGCAGGACGAAGACCTTTTTCCCCAGGATCTAGCATTTTCCTCACACAATAGTATGCGGGAATTGAGGATAGGATGCACAGAGAGCTCAGTTGCTGCATTGTAGTGGACCATTCTTCGAAATAGAAGTTGTAAATCCCTCCGAGTGAGATTAGCAAATCCACCTTCAATCCAATATAAACCTTTCCTATTCAAATCAGTGTCATCCACTGGAATCGTTGCCAACAATTCTGTTCACCTGAGCTGCGGCCCACTTAAGGCCAAAGAAGTTCTCTATTTTATGGCATTCCCCACCTACCTCATTTATAAATAACTCTTGCATTAGTGTGCATGCGTCAAATTGTCGAAGACTTGCTGCTTACACATACGCCAAGGCCGTTGCCCTTTTCTTCAAACCCCCCGTTTCGATCACAAGCACGGTTCTTACTGCGAGCTTACTGTGCTGAATGGACCCCTGTGATTGACACGTCAATTTAAGAAGAGAGAGTAACAAGTTCACGATCAGAAGCAGGTGAATCTCTAAACAACCTGGAAGAGAACCGAACAGGAAAACCAACAACTCTGTCCAGCAGAATTGCTGCCACAAAGACATCACTGTAGGGAAATGGAGACAGTAGGTAGGCAAGAATGATTACCAGCTCAAGGGAGAGGAGTGAATTCTGGACGTCAGGGCCGATGGGGTTCAAGGCATGGGGTGAGGGCGCAATTTAAAACGGAGAAGAAGAAGATCTTAGAGTAGTAGTTTCATGATGAAGTGGTAGCAGGCCCGATCAAAGACCCTACTGAATTATTACAGTCTTGATAGATACCATGGAGTTACATGCACTCAATGTTCCACTCAGTACAGTAAATACCCGGCGCCAACCCTTTTATGGATTCAATAAAATCTGCAAATGTTTTATTTTTTTCCAAGTTAAACTAACATCGAAGAAGAAGCAGCAGAAGAAGCAGAAGAATGCGGGGTGGTGAAGCCTTCAGTGAATTTTTGCTTGTAACCTTTGAAAGTATTTGGAACTGGGCAGGCTGGTGGTGTACCTGGTCGAATGGCAGTCCTTTTATAACGGTTTTTTTTGCCTGGAACAAAGATGCTCTAGCGGTCTGTGGCACTGTCTGGAGAGCCAGCCTTAGATTCACAATCGCACTCCCCAACATTCGCTTTTCTCTGGATTTTGCCCAATCATCAATCCCATTACCCTGTCTCCTCCATTGAACAAGTTCCTGGATCCTTCTCCCATGCCCTCCCCCGATCGATCCAGCCGATCATTATAAAGAACTCGGCTCACACTATCGTTAACTGCAAGCTCGTCGGGTTGTCACTGATGGGTTGAAGCATCTGCATGCCTGCCTGCCTGCCTGCCTCCTTGCCTTGTGATCTAGTGATGCTTGCATGCATGTTATCTGGGGTGTGTGCACGCGTTTCGATCCAAGAGAAGTGTGAAGTCGAGTGGAGGAGTTCAGTTGATGCAGGTATCTAGAGAGTACCTTCACAGGGTTTTATTCTTTTGAAAGCTAAATAAAACCCGTGGGGACGGATCACCCGAATTCAAGCAAGAGTTGGATATAGTCGCGGACATGTGGGCGCGGTGGATCATATAGAGTGGTAGGGAGTCAAGGGGAGTGGGGGATTGGTTCCAGCTGGTTTCTGAATTTCTGCCAGTGCATCATTGTAAGGAGAGGGGAGAGGAGGAATCATTTAAAAGGTGCTGCGGGCGAAATGGTGGGTAAAGTACAGACCGCGTCGTCTTTAGGGCAGGCGAGTGAGCAATCCACAGCTGTAGATGCCTCTGGAAGCAGTCGTCACACCCTTGTGCCGGAGAAAATGGGGTCGCGCTCCGTGTCGCAGAAGCTGAAAGCCGCAAGCATCAAGCGGGCGAAGAAGGTGCAAGAGGGTAGGTACAGAGGAGTGCGGCGGCGACCCTGGGGACGGTATGCGGCGGAGATCAGAGATCCTAACACCAAGGAGCGAAGATGGCTAGGTACTTTCGACACTGCCGAGGATGCAGCTCTAGCTTACGACACTGGTAAGAATCACATCGTCACCTGATCGCGTGCCAGAGTCAGTTCTGGTGGTGGTGGTGAAATGATGTTCATTTCGTAAACAATTTTTCTCTCTCCATGAGTGCTGATGATTTCCCTCATTTTTGCAGCGGCGAGATCCATGAGAGGGCTTAAGGCACGCACCAACTTCATGTATCCAACGCATGAGACCTGTCTATTGTCCGCAGCAGCAGCTCTAGCAGCACCCAATAGTTTGCAGCATGCCACACATCCCGTGGATTTAATTGCCCAGAAGACCCTTGGGGAAGTGCTGCTCTTATCGAGCACGAATAAGTCTCGAAATTTCGACTGGCAGAGCACTACTACTACTTGCATTACGCAGCCGAGTTTCGATGAGTCTTCTCGCAATATGCTCAACTCGCCATCTACGCAGAAGCAGCTGGTGGAATTTGAGCGCAACTTGTTTCCTGGACAAGGGTGCAGATACGTGGATAGAAAGATACAGCCACCTTCGCAGCAGATGCCCCGTTCAGTGCTCGTAGAGATGTCGCCTAACGTCCTCCAGAGCTTCAAGGAGAACAAAGTCGAGACTGCTGAGTCTAGCTTGAGCGTAAGTCCTGGGATGGAAGAGCAATGGCGTTGCTTGCCTGAGAGTGACATGCAGTTTCGCCCTAATCAACTCGTCCGGAGTCCTACTGCGAATTCGGGGCTTCTTGTTTCACGCTATCGCAGCGCGGAATTGCAACCGTTTCAGGTCTGTTCAACTTTCTTGCCAAGTTTGTTTCCGATTCTACGAGTTAGTAGCTGCCGTAATCTCGTTATGACTTGTTGGTGGATTTTGGGAGTTGCTTTGTGTTATTGTTCTCATTTTATAATGCCGACCTTGCTTCCCAATTCATGTTGGCAGGTCACGCGAAGCAATGACAATGCTCCAATGGCTTCTGAAAATGCATCAATGTTTGGCGGATCGAGTATCATTTGTAGCAAAGCTGTTTCGACAACTTCTTCATGTAAACTATCGCAGAGGTCGAGGCCGCTGTTCAGTTCGGAGAATGTTGGTGGAATGCTCGACCAGGTCGTGTCAAAGTACGTCGTTGATTCCACTGGGCCAACCCCGAGCACTGTGGCTGTGGAGGATACCGGTGGAGTAATCGAGTCCAAGGAATGTTTGTTATCCACACAGGTTCCCTACTCGGATGAATCCTCATCCTCGACGTCTGCGTCGCGCTTTGCAGACACGGCTGAATCTTCGCCCACCACCGGCGCTGCCGGCAGCCCAGGACTGTTCTCTCTCTCTTCAGAAGTCGAGCCGACTTGCGGTTTTAGTGCAGCTACAGCCGATGTTTGTCGCCGACCGAGTGCTTTCCAACTGGTGCCTTCCAACCGTAATCCAGATAACCTTGAAAGCATTTTGCCGGCCAATCTCATATACAATCGACACCATCACAATGCTCCGCGGCGGGCAGAGTGGGCATGGGACATGCCTGTTGCGCGAACCACTTCAAGTTCTGGGCTGGACGCAATTACAGGGCATTGTAACTCCGTGTCTTTGCAACGTCACAACTGTTCTCATGAATCAAGCTGGCAAAACCTCTGCGAACTGCCGGATGCGGTGGCTAACTTCCTGTTGAGCGAGTCAATGCAGGGGTTCAATACTACAACTTCGACGCACTGCGTGAACGTCAGCGTGAAAAAACATGAGCCATCACTCCAGCACAGATCCTATGAGCCTACACCAGCACTGGCAAGTAACAGTCCGTGGCAGATGAGCCACTCGAGGGTTACCGGCAATTCGGAGAGCATAAATGTGTTGGCAGACTGGGATTCTACCAGGAGCCAGGATCCCTCACTGGGATACTCTCTTTGCCCGGAGAACAACTCAGGACTCTGCAACGACATGTTCATGCCGGACAACAATTGCCTGCACGTTTTCAACGCCACTGGTTCTTCACACTACCCCTTTTACGATGACGGGTATCTGTTTCCCCACCTCATGGAGGAATCGAGCATGCTCTACGTTTGATGCGCGACAGGGGCTCTTTGATTCTTGTGGAACACCTCAAATATTGTTTTCCACTTTTTACTTATTGATTCATGATGCTCAATTTTCGAATGCTGCGTGAGGTATCTTGGAGGTTGACATTATTTTCAAGGCTCGCACATCGCAGGCGTGAGCTCCATTTGAGGATTGGCAACTTAAGTACTGCACAGAACAGGAGTGTAGGTTTGATAGTAAAGTATGAGAGATTCGTTTCAACCATGTACATGAAAGTGGCGGAAAAGTTTCCGGCTAGACTTAGATATATACATACTCTTCAGGAGATAGTAGTGTGCAGCCGTAGTTCACTAATTCCGCAAAGGCTGGAGGTGAACTTCAGTGCTCATGGATTACTACTCCACGCTTGCAGTATTACAAATTTTGCAATTCGGAGAACTCGGCATTCAAAAATATATCATCTTTGTGAAGTCTTCGTTTCTTTCATCTTCATTATCAACGGTATAGGTTACACTCACTGAAACATAAACTACCTTCAAACTTGTTATTGGGCACACAGTTAAGTGTGAAGCATGAGCATCAATCTGCTGCACTGTGAAGGCGACGGTTAGAGTAGTATCAACATGCTGTGATCAGTGAGTGGATAGGATAGGGACTCATGTCATCTCGCGAATTCCTGAGTCATTTGCAAAGGCCGCGGCACAAATCTGAATATGATCACTCGGAAGCTGCATCAGAAATCTAGCAAGTGAAAGGAACGGTTAAAAAAGAGAATGGAGCCCACAGATAGTCTGTACACATTGCATACTTGCAGCCATAAGTGCAGATCTGCCCGTCTTTGATAACTTTAAATCGGCTCGCCTTCCATCTGAAATGCAACAGTTTCGTTGAGGCTACCGGATGATGAAGTTCGATTGTGAATCCAATTCGTCCAGACCATTTGCTTTCGGGCCGAACACTCCGATGCAGCATCAGAATTATCCAGCCAGTCAGCCAGCCAGCCACTGCCAGTCTTCCTATCCCAAGAGGGCTGGTGGCTACAAGGAAGTCTCAGGAGGCACGGCTCTGGCGATGCAACTTGATTGAGTGAAGATTCCTGATGACATGATACAGGGGGAGTATTAATTGCATCTAAATCGGGGAAGAGATGATCTAAATCTAGAATCTGACGGTCGCACAAGGCACTGAATGACCAGTGAGCACTTGTTCCGCTGCCATTGATCCAGAAGCTGGGAAAGGACATGGGGCCAAAAGGAACTTTTTCTCTGGTCTCAAGGCCTAAATATGTAGCAGCATCTTGATCCAAATGAATGAATGCTAAACCCCTCCACACACAGAATCATTGCTCTTGGAGCAGTGCTAGGTTGGGGGAATATTGTTGACTCTCGATTGCTGAGCCAGACTATGCACAAGTAGTTGTAGGGGGTCCAGAGAGAGGATAATATAGATCCATTCCCATGTACCATAAAAAAAGGGTGTTGGAACCCATGACCACATGTGCAAATTCAGTTTTTTATTGGAAGAGCAACCCTGCTAAAAGTGCTCTGTCAGCAGGAAGATTAACAAATTCCATTTGCTTGTACTTGCTTAGATTTCCTCCAGCTCCATGTGATCAATGACATCTGGTAAGTCGTAACAAAAATTACTAGTATAATATTTGGAAACCATTACTTTAACTTAACAGATGCAGTGCATGGATAACATAGTAGCGCTGAAGAAGGAACATCTGTTACTCCATCTTATGTGTCTGGTGGGGGCTCCATCACCACATTATATCCAGGGAGGCTCCTCCAGAAGCAGGGCCACTGTAGTCTGGGAATGGGAACAACATCAAAAAGAAAAGGGCATACAAAACCAAGGCTTTTTTATAGGGTCCAAACCCTGGAGTGCCCTGGAGCAGGTGGCCAACCAAATGATAAGAAACTAATGAAGACATGGAGAGGGAGAGAGCTCACCCATCGGTGGGGTGTGCTTGGCCTTTTCCCAAACTTGGTCTCATGCTTTGCGAGCTTTCCATTTGCAGCTAGCCAGCCCCACTAGGCCTGCCAGCCAGCAAGCCATGGCTCCCAGAACAGTTCTGGCTACAACGCAGGATGTGCTAGGGCAGCTCCAAGTTACATAATTTATTCAACAGAAGATGGCTACCCTGTCCTCCACAGCCTTGCCCTGTTCAGGAAGAAAACACAGGGAGACAAAGGGTCACTTGCAGCAGGACAGGGCATGGTCACAGCACATGTCCATGCTTTAGTGGCTATGCCAGTCCAGCCTTGACCTTTCTGCATTTTGTCACTCTTCACCTCTCTGCAGAGATATATGTGTACAGTTCTCTGTCCTACACCTGTACACACTGTGATGGACCAGAAGTGAAAGGAAGGGAAGCCTCCATTCCATGCTTCATGGGGTCCATTGACTGTATGTGATGGCTTATTCCTCCCCCATTCTTTTAGTGCTGTGTGCATACCCAAAATTTTGTATGTATACTCCCACCTCCACAATTTAAATATAGATGCTGGGTATGATTTGTGCATGCTTGAATTTGAGTGTCAGAGTCTACGTCATGACTATAGTTACATGCAAAATTGTTTGCTTGCATTGATTACAGAGCCTGATTACTTAAAACAACCAACAAGTGCTCTAAGATTGTGTTTGATTCCACAAAATACAAAGATTCTAATACATTTTTGAAATAGGAACATTGTAAGTGTAACAAGTTCTGTACTATGTTGTGTTATGTATAAAGCACAATAATCACAAATGTTTATATTAGTGTGTATACATGTGTATATATTAAAAATCATATGCAGCCATGCAGTGAGATCAGCAGAGCATGCACTGCAGCAAGTTTATTTACTTGCTTGTTTGTTATGTGTGTGTGGTGTTTGTGCTTGTTTGACACAAATGGTTGGGTTGCAGGAAAGGTGATTTAGAGAAGGACAACTGCATGTGTATGACTTGCCTCTGTAATGCATCCATCTATTTCTTCCATGAAGGGTGGGACATTCCTTTCGTTTTTGTTTGGAATGGTTCAATGAACACAAAATAGAATATATACAACAATTATATGAAAAATCATAAAATTTTCTAATGATTAATTTCCAGTTTCTATGCTTTTCTTTGAGAGATGTAAATAAACAGAAAAATTAGATTGTAATTCATGTATAAATACTGGATTTGAATCAAATGTAAAAGTAGCACTTGCCAATATTGAGCTATGACACAAGAAAATTCCACTTGACATGTATCTATATGTTTTTAAGTGTATATATAATGTATTGTATCACATTAGTGTACATAAAAATGTATACATATAGCACTGTTTTGTATGTATTGTTTTTGTCAAAAAAATATTTTAAATATGAAACTCCATCAAATAAATTCATAGTAACAAGAAAATGTATAACTTAAATTTCAAGATATGATGAGTAAAATACAGATATGTGTCAATATCATCTTATGATGTTTATGTACATGTTTGACAAATACTATTAACTCAATATGCAAACATATTCATAAGATCAGAGCTTTTGCTTATTATTAAACTTATTTATAGTACTACTGAATTAGTGTTTAGGATTCACTGAAAATTTCAATTATTTTGGAAGCTTATGTGCAGTTGTTAACATAATGGTTATCATATAAGTATGATTAAAATTAAAATTTTAAGTTAGCAAGACAAATAAAACCACATAATGTGTAAAACTATATATATATGTACACATAAATTAGCATGAAGACCATTACAAATGATGTTAATGCATATATTATTACCTGGTGTAAACTATCTATCTATATATATATATATATATATATAATCACCCAAAGAAAACTGTCACTTATTTTACATTCTCTTGCACAAAATTATTAAATAGAAAGGAAATGAATGAATTTTTTTAAAAAATTAGAACTTTAATTATGATTTGATTATCATATAATGTTGCAATTAAATTTTACATTTTTGAAGCTGTACATGAGCATCAGTACATATATAACAATAAATATATAAAATGAAAAAGTATTGTAAAATTTTAATAATTATTTACAATACATAACAATAATTTTTAATAAGCCTGGAGCTTATTCATCATTAAAGTTTATTGTATGAAAATTATGTTCAATTGAGTTTGAATATGTGAATTTTTAAATTTATTAATGTAACTTATAAGTATGAAGATGCATTGTTTTTTTCTTGTAGAATTCCCAAACTTTCAAATTACTTAAATTTATGTATTAAGAGCCATCCATCATTTCTTATCATTACATCAATTTCTTATCATTAAAACTTACATACACATTTGGGTTTTCTTTTCATTAATCAATCTCAGATAATTGTAGCAACATAAAGGATTTTTAAAATATATTATTTATCACTGTCAAAATGCTCTTGCATACTCACACACTGCTCACCATAGCTTCTATTCTCCAAGCATGCATAACACAATACTGTTTATGCTTAGAACCATCACCTTTTACCATAAAAGTAACCATAAAACCAAAATGTTTCCTAATATTATCATTTGACTTGGGAAATAGTGTATTTTTAAATGGTATAGAGAACATTAAAAGAAAAAAACATCAAATATTATTCATGATTTTTAATGGATATGATTTTACTAATAGATTGTGTGTTTAGCCAAACAAATGACTGTTATAGTAAATTAAAGAGAGTAACATTGCCACCCCCAACTCTTGTGGCCTATGGTCAGGGCACTGCCTGCCAGTGAAGTCCCCGATTTTAGAAATGGATACTTAAAACACAAACACACAAACATACACACATGCAGACAGACAGACCATAATGGTTGAGGTTATTATGGTGTTCTGCTTACTCACCCACCCATGCACCTGCATTAATGTTCTTATCCCCCTTCTAGTTGCTGTAATTATTATTGTGTTCATTGAAATCATTCTTATTTGTTTTAAAATACATCAACAGAGCATCATCATGTCCACAAAGAAGACAAAGGCTGTGTATGATTCTTCTTCTTTTTCTTTGTCCTCTTCTGTTTGAGATTCCCTTAAGGACTGCAACAATATTATTAAAAGCCTTCTGATGTTGCTCATTGTCTATCATCATGATAAAAACCCAGCTTCTTCAATGGAACCAAAAACTGTAATAAAATACCACACATTAAACAGAATAAGGTCCCCCTCTCCCCCTTTTCCCTAAAATACAATGATATGAAGAAAAAAAACATAAATTAGATGAGTGTTAAGCATCTACAAAGGAAACATAGTTGTGCAAAAGAAGGATGGTGAAGAGTAATGTAAGTAAATGAATGAATAAGTCAAACTTCTGTGTTTTTCACCAAATGTGGGATATGAGCATTTCAGCTTTGTTTGTTTGCTGGAGTGACCCCACAACGATCTCTGAGCATGTCAAAAGTCACCATTTGTTTCCAATTCCTTTTTGTTGAGAATGTTTTGTAGAGACACAATAGGAGTTGGAAGTAATATTCACACACACAAAACA